CACAGTAAGTGACCATGTGGTCCGAAGTATAAAAAATATATTAAATTAATATTATTAAATTAAAATAACTTAAATGATGCAAAGAACTAAGAAAATCAACGATTAACTTCCAACTATTGATAATTATTAAGCTTTAATTTTAACTTTTGGTAGCACTATTAAAAGATGTTAATATAATTTAAAAAAAAATTAGTGTAAATGAATGAAGTTACCGGTCTAAGCCTTGCACCTGCTACCAGGAAAATGGCATTAGATTGAACAGACTGACACAGAACCACGAAAAGACAGCCTAAGAAATTAAGAAAATCCCACGATTCATCGTTGACACCACTTCCAACATATTTGCATCCACATCTAGCTCCACTGACAACAGACTATATCACAGAAGCCAAGTTTTAAATAGACAGGTGAGGGTACGATTACTTAATTTCCATATTTCTAAGGTTCACACAGATATTAAATCTTTAACTTTTCAAATAAATAATGTTACTTCCTTTCTGGACAATCACTTACCTGACAATTTGTTGGACACTTTTGAGGCTTCTTTACATAAAAAATTTAATTACATTTATAATAAATCCATGGCACATCTTAAAAATAAACTTAATAACTTAGACACTCCTGATTTTAAAAAAATTCCATTTAATCCTAAATGGATTAAAAATTTATCTAATACTGAGGTTCCTCCAGACATACTGAAGTTGTTATCTTTGGGTCCTAAATTTGGCCTTCAACCAACTTTCAAGGACTACTCAATTAGTAGAATCCTAGCTGATGTTGAGAATATTTTGTCTCATGCGGACAATTCTGACCTTTTATTCCTTAGGTCTTCTTCTAACAACATCTTGTTAAATTTCACTAAACGCCCTAGTCAACCCCTATCGGAGTTAGATAAGGTTTACAGGGAGACGGTATCGTTTTTAAAAACCCACCCTAATCTTCTCGTTCTCACGAGTGACAAAGGTAATGCGACTGTCCTTATGGATAGAGATCAATATTTCAGTTTGAGTAAATCACTGTTAGATGATGATAGATACTACCAACCACTTTCCACTAACCCTTGCTCTAAATTCACAAATAAAATAAATAAATTTATAACACATTTGAAAAATATTAAGATCATAGATCAACCTTTAGCTAAAACTTTACATAATTATGATGGATATGCTCCTAGATTTTATTGTCTGCCAAAGATACATAAACCTACACTGAGCATGAGACCTATTGTGTCCTCTATTAATTCACCTAATATCAATATTGTTAAATTTCTAACTGACATCCTTTCAAAGTCATATAATTACAAGAATGACTTTAATATTGTTGATTCGTTTAACTTTAGTGAATTTATTAACAATTTCAAATTACCACCAGGTTACATTTTAGTAAGTTTTGATGTGGTTTCTCTCTTCACCAATTTACCTTTGTCCAGTGTTATCACTTCCTTAAAAAATCACTGGAATTCTATTAAACCTAACTGTCCTGTTTCCTGGGATGTATTTGCAGAACTCTTGCAACTAGTTTTCGATACTAATTTCTTGGTCTTTGACGACAAATATTACCTTCAAATTTTTGGCACACCTATGGGTTCCTCAATCTCTCCTATCCTAGTCAACTATGTATTGGATGATTTAGTTTCTGACCGTTTAGGTCGTTTGGATGTTCAAATCCCTTTTATTAAGAGGTATGTGGATGATTTATTATTAGCCCTACCACCTGACAAGGTTCAGGGTACCTTATCCTTCTTTAATGAGTTTGATCCTCATTTACAGTTCACTGTTGAACTTGAGGACACCATCACCAATAGCATTCCCTTTTTAGACATGCGTGTCATTAGAATGGGAGATAACACCCTAACCACAAGTTGGTATAGAAAACCCATGGCCTCTAATAGGTTCCTTAATTACCACTCCTGTCACCCTATGAAGTATAAACTAAACCTTATAAAAGCTTTAAGCTGCAGATTACATAAATTGACACATCCACTTAATCGAAGAGAATCCCTTAAGTTATTAAGAAATATTCTAATAGAGAACTCATATCCTTCATCTATCATAAACAAATACCTATACACACAAAGCTATGGTTCCTCGTTTGATGACATACCCAATGGTGACCAACTCAGAACTATTTCCAATAACTCAATTAATAGCATTGTTCTGCCAGATACTGAGTTTGAGAATCCTATTATCCATTATTCTTCTCTACCTTATTTTCCTCAAGTTACTGAGAAACTTATTAAACTGTATAAACAAAATAACATTCCTGTTAAAATTGCTGTCAAGAACGCAAAAACTGTTAGAAATCTTTTTTCAAAAACTAAAACACCATTGTCCACTTTAGAACAAGTCAATACAATTTACCACCTTCCATGCTCTGATTGTGATTTGTGCTACATTGGCCAGACCGGTAGATCATTAAAAGGTCGTCTTACTTCTCATCGTAGTGATATTAATTTATCAAAAAATACGTGTGCTCTCGCACAACACGCTATTAGCACTAAACATAAAGTGGATTTTAATGAAGTTAAGATTCTTGGCACTGAACGTAATCTATTTAAAAGACAGTTTTTAGAAATGTGTTCAATTCTTAAACATCCTAATGCTCTAAATAAGAGAACTGACATAAGTAACTTGAGCCAAATTTATCATGCTCTAATATTGCAGAACTAGGCTTTACTTTCATTTTCACTATAATTGTCATGTAATATACATAATTGAACACAATTTTTTTTTAATTAATAATATAACATATTAAATAAATAACTAATATTAAAATAAACTGAAACACTCAATTCTTTATACCAACTACTTAAATATAGGCAACTTTCATTACACTGTTACCTCTACACTTAAATTTTCCATATTAGTGTGAACCAGTCACTATTTAATAGTATAGTAATAATATTAACATTGTAATTGATTCATAGAATCCTTTACAAATTACAGATCTAAGTGTCTGAAGCTTAGACTGTTGGAAATTATCTAATTGTTATTCACCTGTTGGCAAAAATTTTTTCAGCCACAATGTTTAACATAAATTTAAATATAAGAGTTTGAATGAAATTCTCCTGTTTGTTTGTTTTTAGACGGGCTAATGCGAGTAATTGTTATTGCTATATCAGTTTCTTTCATTGGATTGTCTCTTACAAGCGGGCTGTCATCCAAAACTCATTAACATTTAAATAAACCGCTCAATTATTTGAGGTGGTACCTCTGACCTTGCTGTTCTGTTGAAATAATTTCAACCTCAAGGTTGGCTGTCTTTTCGTGGTTCTGTGTCAGTCTGTTCAATCTAATGCCATTTTCCTGGTAGCAGGTGCAAGGCTTAGACCGGTAACTTCATTCATTTACACTAATTTTTTTTAAATTATATTAACATCTTTTAATAATGCTACCAAAAGTTAAAATTAAAGCTTAATAATTATCAATAGTTGGAAGTTAATCGTTGATTTTCTTAGTTCTTTGCATCATTTAAGTTATAATTTAATATATTTTTTATACTTCGGACCACATGGTCACTTACTGTGCTAATTTTTTAATAAGTCACTAAATGTTGTTAGTAAATTAAATGTTTATACATTTCTACTTTATAATGTCCATTTATTCAAGTTTAATTCATAAGCTTGTTAACATCTTTGACTGCTACATGTCTTTTTAAGGTAATACCTGTAACATCTTTTCCATGATTGTGTGGTTCTTATATTATACTTTTTAGAGTGAACTGATGATGCTTTCAGAATACGAAAGCGAAACGTCTTCAAAATAGATAGAGTGGCACATCAACTTTGTCTTTCATTTCTCCACCTACAAATTGACGGATATAAGAGCCCACCACTCTGTTGAGTGATCCTTTTATATATTGGAATTTGACGGTCGTACTCCTTTTTCCGATATATATATATATATATATATATATATATATATATATATATATATATATATATATATATATATATATATGAGGAGCGTTATTCCAAAACTTACGAAGTCCAAATTTTTGATTTTTCAGTACGATCGAATTTCTGCTGCTATAAATTCGCATTTGGTAGAGAAAATATTTTTTGCAGATTTATTAATCATAACCTTCTTATTAATCACTATTAATCAAATTTGGGTTTTATTTGTTTTTGTCTTTACAATAAAATAAAAAGATTATATAACATTCCAGTTATATAATCAACATTATATAACTATATAATAACAGAAATTTAAAATTTTCGAGGGGGTGCTTATAATTCAAAGGGGGTACTGAAGGGGTATAATATTTTCATACTGTAAATTGTCAATTTAAGAATAAAAATCAACCTCTTACAGCTTTTTTTTACATAGTAGATACATAATAACGCTAAAAATGAATTTATTCCATACATATGGACCGCATGGTATATAATGTAACGTAGCTAGAGGGATAGTAAATGAAGCGGAAATAATATTAACTATCAAAATAAGAAAACTTAAGTACTTAAGATATGTGATGAGAGGACAAAAATACTCATTATTACAACTTATTATGCAAGGTAAAATTCGACGCAAGCGAAATGTGGAAGACGAAGAATATCCTGGCTTAAGAATTTGAGGTTATAGTTTGAATGTTGTAGTGCAGAACTATTTAGATCGGTGGTCAACAGAGTGCACATAGCCACAATACAACTTGAGAAAGAAATAATTTTGAAAATATAAAATTAATTAATAAAGATTATTCAATAAACCTCCCAAACGAGTCGCGTAGGACTGAAATTAAGATGTATTCATACAATACCTACGTTTGATTAAACAAAGTACAAATATCACTTCAAAATCAAGCATTGTGAAAACATATGAAATAAATTGATATTAGATTAGTAGTTTAAAAAACTTAGCTCGGTTAGAAAAAGACATTTATGGATAAGATAATTTGCGTCAAATCTATCTAAAATAGGTCCATAACTTAAAGTCATCCCATATGGACATATATACTAAATATAACTAAAATTGTCCTTAATGAAAAAACACAGCACTTACCTTTAAAATTGAAAGCAAACCCATTTTATTACTGTTTCAAAAGTTATCAAAAGTTATACTGAAATGTTAATTCACCTGTAGATTAGTTTTTAAAATATTTAAATTTGTATATAAATAATAAACACGTATAATGTAGTAGTTAACTGTGCCATGCGTACCGTATTATATTTATTATCGAGCGCAATTTTCAATAACACTTTTGTAATTTGCTCAAAAAATATCACCAAATTACTATAAAATTTTTGAAACCTATGTAAATAATGAACTAAGGCTTAGAAAAGGTAAATCTCAAAAAGTAATTTAACCGTTAGGTTTTATTGCACGATGTCATACATGACGAGGATCAGAATGAGAGAATAATCTTGTCAAGAATTTTTTGGGTGTTTCTCTCTTTAAAGGTATTGTCATTTATCGCGAAAATTATTGATTCCATGATGATCATTATCTCTACCTTTATCACCTAATTAAAATAGGTCAGCTTTCCTAATTAAATTTCCACATTAGTGATGTAACGAATATTAGCATTCGCATTCGCGAAATTTGTGCGAATGTTTTGCGAATATGAATATAAGAAAAAAAAATTGAAGATTAGGTTAATAAAATAAAAATCTATTCACTTCTCAGTTTTTTTATTAAGAAAACTCACTTTATTTTACAAGCTTAGAAAACTATAAAATTAGAAAACAAAAAATAAATAATGCAGTGTAAACAAACAAAAACAAATTATTCTGTGACACTTTAATTATCCTGAAGTTTTTAATTTTAGAAAATGATCTTGAAAAAGCTAAGAAATATTCAACTACAAACTAAAAATAGTCTCTGTGTTTTTATGTAAAGAGTTTAAGCAAACAAACATAAACAGATTGTTATTTGCTTATATGTAGATCTTTTCCAAAAATATTAATTTTGTGTTAACAAAAATACTGCTCTCTCTTATTAAAAAATAACAATTCTCTGTTTTTACTTATTTTTCAAGTTTTTTTTAACGATAAGTAGAAACAGAGAACTGTTATTTTTTATTAATTAAAATTTAATAGAGGACTATTAAAATTTAGAAATAAAAGCTTCGACGATTTTTCTCTTTCAAGACTGTTTCGATGTGGTGTATAAAGAAGTCCAGCGCCACTAAACAAGCGCTCGCTCGGGACACTATTTGGTGGTATAACTAACTGTTGCCGTACTACAGGAAAAAGAAGATCGTAAAATACCTTCCCTTGTTCACTTTCCATTGTGTTAGAGGGTCGACTTCACCTGTCACGCGTTTTTCCGATAAGGGTATTGTTCATATAAATGTACAATATGCGGTTTTTTATTTTATTTCGAATTCTGTTTTAGATATTTTTGTAAATCCAAAACTATTGAAAAGAACGGAGTTGTTTCGAGAAGCATTTTTTTTGGTTTGGCTGCAAAAGTGTTACAAATATTTTTTATTTATCGTCAAACCTTGAAATTGTCACTTCGGTAACTGTCCTACAGTCACAATTTGTAGTTTAAACCCAAATATATGTAACACTTTTTGACGTATATACCTTTTAGAGTCATTTTTATAGAAAATAAATATTTAACTTTTTAGTTAAATATATAAAAAAAATTAGTTCTTACCAATAAAAATATTGTAGATTAGAAAGTTATGTCCCAGACCTCTCGCATCATTTCGGTAACACAACTTTTATGCGAAGAAATCGACAATACCGACTTAACTTGTTGTTTATTTCTTTCGAGTTCCATGTTCGCGCGTAGTGTATGTATGAGTTAGTGGCAGTGGTTTTTATGTAATATGGAAAGTTTTTTTTTAATGAATTAATGAATGACTGATTTTTTCGGCGTATACTTATTATCGACCATTTCGGTAACTACTTTTTCATCGAAGTTTTTGCCTCAGAAAAGCAATATAATGTATTTTTCTTTTTAAAAAATAGAACATGTTTAATAACCTCAAAAATTTTAATAATCTAAGTTACTCCTAGAGGGAGCTAAATTACGAAATGTAAGATTTCGTCATTTCGGTAACGTCATTTCGGCAACATTTTTAAAAGTAATATTGTGTTACCGAAATGATATTTTGTTACAGAAATGATTAGTTTCTTTTTATTTATAGATGGACAACGAAAAATTAAAATGTTTAAAAGAAAAATTAACACAAGATAGAAAAAATTCCTACGAATTAAATTTAAAAAATAAAGAAGAAAAAAAAATAAAAGTAAAACTTTTTTAAATCCTAAAAAGTCCGACTTTTTGAAGAAGATAGGATGACTAAGCCTTCAACTTCAAATGGATATTCTTCGGCCCAAACTAGCGTCTCCATGCCGAAAATTCAAGTAAATTTCAAGTTCGAACAGAATAAAAGTAATGTCGAGCCGAAAAAAACATTGAAACTTGAACTGAAAAAAAAAAGTAAATAATATCCACGACAATAATAATGATAAAACAGCGCAAGCAAAAATAAAAAAAAAAGTACTTGCAGAATAATAGAACACCAACGAAAATAAAAATTAAAAAGAGGAAATGTAACGAAAAGATGAAAGAAGAAGTAAGAAAAAGAGTTCAGAAACATAGAATGAAATTAACAGAGCAGCAACTTGAAGAAAAAAGAAGAAAAGATCGAGAGCGATACAAAAAAAGAAAGAAGAAGGACAAGTTAAGTTTATAAAAGACTTGACACCACGACAGCAAAGAATAAAAAGAAAGGAATGAAGTTAAAACAGCAAAAGATATAGAGAGAAGAAAAAAATGAAAGGTGAAACCGAAAGATTTGCTAGAGATAATTCACCCGCAACAAGTGAAGATGAAGTTACAATTGAAAATCAGGACGACCTTTTTCATGAGGATCTTGCGGAAAATTTAGATGTTATGGATGTTGTCAACAAGAAAAACACACCTTCAAGGCAAAAAAATGTTGGCCGACAAATAGTGAAAAAAGAAAAATCTTTAAAAAATGTTATAGAAAATTAAAAAAGGCAGAATTAAAAATTAGAGACCTAACCAAACAGTTAGCAAGAGATCGAAAAAGGTTACAAAGGGAGAAATCTAAATTTAAACAATTTTTAAAACAAAAAAAAAAGAAAAAGAATCTCCTGAAACAAGGGCGAGTAAATTGATAGCTGATATCGAAGTTCCAGATAAAATCAAAAGAAAGTTAGTTTTTGGGGAAGTTATTAAAGATCAATTAGAAGAAAACGCCAAAATGCTAAAAAATCATAAAGCTAAGAATACGTTATCGATTGTGTCTAGAAGCATAATAAATAAATATCGTTTAAGGGGCGAGACTTCAAAAATACTTTCGTACAAAATGCATCGCAAATTCATTAATAATTCCCAATACGAAAGAAAAAAACGTAACCATGCAGTTATCCAAAAGACAAAAGGTCTTTGCTACGATTGTACTTTTAGTTTAAACATCCAAAATGAAGGAAGCAAATGTTTCGACTGTAGCAGAACTTATCACCTTAAATGCATTGTTAAACATCACTTTAACAAAAATAGTGAAATATTTCTTTGCCTTACATGTTTTAGAAAATAAAACTAACACACAATAGTTATCTAATTCCCCATTTACGTTTGCGTTCCTTGTTTTGTTGTTCTTTTTTCATTTTTATGGCAATAAATACATAGTTATAAATGTGCGTTTTCTTTAAAATAGTATAAAAGTTATCATTTCGGAAACGTTGAGTCATTTCGGTAACGCCTGCAAAATAATTTTTTTAACATAATTTTTTTAACTAAAACCAGAAAAAACATTATAGTTGTTAATTATAAATAAACTATAAGCTAACAAGTTGAAAAAACACTACCATTAATTTCATTAGAGCAATTTAGAATAAAATAAAGTCAAATATATTGTACATTTAAAAAAAAATAACTATTGCAACATAAGAAAAACAGTTTTAAACTTTAGCTACCACCTAAGATGACTTGTAGTAAAATACTATCATTTTAGGTTAGTTTCTAAAAAAATATAAAATTTAAAAATGTATTTAGTCCTATTTATAGGGTGTTACCGAAATGACTATTTTTTTGCTGTTTCACACCAAAAAGAACGATAAAAACATATCTATTAATAATTAAGCTCTGCTTTCATAAAATCATAAAACTTAGAGTATGTAAGAACTCAAAACAATAAAAAACATAACTTAATTACGAACTTTATTTTTTTAGTATTATAAAAGTCAAATTAACCATTTATATGAACAGTAACCATAAGTATTCTGTGACAGTTTTACGGATTAAAAGATGGACAGATTTTTGAAAACTAAGAAGTTGTATGTCATCTTCTTCACTATTACTCGTACCGTAATTTGGGGTAACTTGAGACACTTTTTAACTTAAACCTGAAGTTTATTACATAGGGAGAAAAAATTAATGTTCAAAAACTATTTGAAAACATTAGTCGCGCAGGTAGAATGTAGAATGTAGAAAATGGGGCGGCCAATAGAGCCTGATACAGTGCGACCTTTGCAGATCTATTGTGTTCCCCCCTTATTTTAAAGCACTTCATCTAGCTTGGTCCTCTTAAGGAGACTCAACAGCCTTGATAGTGGCCTTTTCATGTAGCCTGGTGCTTCAGGTTTTTCCTCTCCGAGTTCTAGAAACCGCATTCGTGCGAGACCTTCGCAATGGCACAGAACGTGTAGAGCGGTTTCCTCTTCTTCCAGACAGAAACGACAGGTGTCCTCTTCTGTCAGGCCTATGAGACTCAAGTGTCTATTGAGTCTACAGTGCCCAGTGAGCAGACCCACTATCATTCTGACAGTCCTGCGTCTGTGCGAAAGTAAGTCTGCTGTAAATTTAGCCGAATGTTCTTTGATGAACTGTTTGGTCTGCCTCTGTCCTGGTGAGTTGTTCCACCACTCAAGAGACTTCTGTTGCACCCATTTGTGTATGGCTGCCCTTTTTATTGTATTTGCGATTCCAAAGAAGGGTTCCGGACCAACCAGTGGCGTAGATGCGCCTTCTCGGGCCAATTCATCGGCCTTCTCGTTGCCACGATGGCCCTTATGTCCCGGCACCCAGGCAAGTGTCAACCT